AAATTGCCCATCCTCACTACGCGGGTTGACTGTACGCGCTGGTGCTGCGGAACGCATGGCGCAGGCCAGGGGCGCGCGACAGCAAAAGAGGGCTCGCAACGCGCCGCGACGAGCCCAGGGATACCACAGAGGCCACGCCCCCCCCAAGAGCTCCAGAGCACCGCCGAACCGCTGGACAGGACGTGAGCGCGTGACAGAGCAGAACGCAAACGCAGAACAGCCTCTCGATGCATGCTCCGCAGCCTGCCAAACGCTGACAGGGAGCTCGGAGGGGCGAGGCCAGCGGCCACCAGCGCAAAACATCGTCTCGCAGGCTCTCTTTCACGAGCGCCCCCTTCGCTTGCCAGGGCGTGCCGCTGCCTTCCTCCCCTCCCTCCAAGCTGTCTCCATATGATGGCGACGTTCCTCTCTCCCCGGGTCCGGTCTGAGAGTGGCCAGTGTTCTCCCGCATGCACTTAGGGCTTCCCACTCGTTCCCCAAACAGTGCTTGCATGTAATGGGTTTTTACGTGTCTTCGTTCAATAATTGGTTGGGTATTCTTGGTTTTCGCCACATTGCCGCCCGTGCCGCCTCGTGGGCGCCTCGTGGGCGCCCCGCGTTGCACGGGAATGCCGCGATTTCGCCTCGCAGGCGCCCGTGCCGCCTCGTGGGCCCCCCCGCGCTCGGGGAATGCCGAGGTTTCGCCGCGTGGCAACCCGTGCCGCCTCGTGGGCGCCTCGTGAGCGACTCGAGGGCGCCCCGCGATTAGAAGATACTCCGAATTGCGCCACGCTGCCGCCCGTGCCGCCTCGTGGGCGCCTCCTGGGCGCCCCGTGGGCGCCCCGTGCTCGTAGCTTACACGGCACGGACTTCACCACACAGCTTACATCATATAGCTTGCACTACGTCGCTCACACCGCATAGCTGCCACGGCATAGCTTACATCACATACCTTGCACCCCATCGCATAGCTTGCACCCCAGTTCACACCGCATAGCTCACACGACCTAGTTAACATCACTTAGCTTCCACCGCATAGTTTGAACCTCCATAACTCACGCTACATATCTACGACTTAGATTTCACCACGTAGCTTACACCACATAGCGTCCACATCCAGTGCAGTAACGCACTGTTTGGGGCCCACGCTGACGAACACAGTTATTAGGAGGCTTGCTGGGCATTCTGGGTCTGAGGCTGGTGCCCGTCCATGGGCGCCCGTGGGAGCCGCGCGGGCGCCCCGCGCTTGGGGGCAAGCCACGATGTCGCGCGGTGCTCTCCCTTGGGCGCCTCGTGGGCGCCCCGCGCCGGGCGGGTGTGGCGAAGCTTCGCCCGGTGCCCGCCCGTGGGTGCGTCGTGGGTGCCCCGCGCCAGGGGGCTGCGCCGAGGTGTCGCCCGGTGCCCGCCCGCAGCCGCCCAGTGGGCGCTCGCGTCCACTCCGCGCGGGAAGGGTGTGCCGAGGCTCCGCCTGGCGCTCGCCCGTGGCCGCGCTCGCGTCCACTCCGCGCTGGAAGGGTGTGCCGAGGCTGTGCCCGGTGCCCGCCCGTGGGCATGCCCCGCGCAAGAGGTGGTGCGCCGAGGTGTCGCCTGTCGCCCGCCCGCGGGCGCCTCGTTGGCGCCCTGCGCCGGGAGGGGGTCGACGTTTCGCCTGGTGCCCGCCCGTGGGCGCTGTGTGGGTGCCCAGATAGCTGGCACCGCGTAGATGGCACAACCCGGCGTGCACTATACAGCGTCCACCGCACTGCCTACACCAAGCATGTTACACCACATAGCTTGCACAACGTAGGTCTCCTTCCAGAAAAGGAGGAGACTCTCAATATTCCCCGCAATTGGTCGGTCCCACCTTGGGACTCTAGACGAGCGCGCTCCACTACTCGCAAAGCAGCTACTCGCAAATCGCCTGGATCCGCCGCGGTGGATATATGATAAATTACATCGAAGCAGACGTGTTTTTCTGGCGTTTGCGAGTAGGCACTTTGCGAGCAGTGGAGCGCGCCGCGTGAGACTCTGCAAATTACATGCGGTTTTGGCCCATCGTCAATTTTGGAATGTGCACTCAAACCATCCCAGCTAGGCCGGCCATCGCCCTCCCTCATCCCGGTTAAACAACACTATGCGCGCAGACGCGTTTATCGCAGACAAACATGACTCAAAAATCCGCTATGAAAAAGGGAGTCAAAGTCACACACGCGCGCGCGCCCATGCCGAATTCAGACCAAGCACGCAAGTGCTGTAAGCACTTCAACACGCAAGCATAAAAAACGCTCGGTCTTCCATAACAAATATTTCAGAATCCCTGCCCTCGCGCTTTTACCGAATACCGACGACAAACAAACAATATGTTTGTGAGGGTCGCGCCCAGAACCCGCATTCCCATGTCACCACGCGGTGCATCCGCGTTGACCCCACACGCGCCCAGCGCACGAATGCGCGCGCCGCCTTGCGCACGCGGCGAAATCGTTCCAAAAACCATTGGTGCTCGAATCCTGTCAAGAAAGAACTTCCAATAACAAGGTACATTACATGCCGGCGCGCGCGCTCTTCCTCACCATCACTCTCATCAACACCACCGCATCAACGCCGTTATCGTCGTCACCAATCGCCGCCATTGCCGCCATCATCAACTACTCATTTTATCCCCGACGCATGGGCATCATCATCGTAATCGGCGTCAGTATCGGCACCATCATCCTTGGCCTTCTCGTCGTAACCGTCATCATCGGCATTTCCATCGTTTACTATCAAAATCGTTGCCGCCGTTGTCGGCGTCCTGATGATACAGCGCCCACCCGAGTCACCGACCCGCACTGAAGTGCCAGCGCGCTCGCGCTGTTTTTGAGACGCGCTGGGAAGCTCCCATGGGTAAGCGCAATTGCGGCATCATCGGTTGTGCCAAACCACTTGATCGTTCTGCGGACTCGCGCGATAGCGAAACGCTAGAGATGCGCCAGCCAATGCCAAGTAGTCGCCGCAATCGCGGCCGCAAGGGTTGTGCAAAAGAAGTTGCGGGCGGGAGGGTGGGATGGCAATGACGAGTGGAAGTGCAGCCAAGTGAACTGCATCACGAAGATTATGCAACCTAGCTAACACCAACTATATTGCACCACGTAGCTTGCACCATGGACCTTACAGCACATAGCTTGCATCACATAGACTGCGCACATAAGTTGCACCGCATAGCTCACACCGCACAGTTGCACCACCTAACGAACAAATCCTCCATGCCATCACGCACAGATTGGGGTCCCAAACTGTCCTACATGCTCATACGTATGGGGGTTCAGAACGTGTTGTGGCATGTGGCTGTTGCCCATCGGAACATCTTCGGTGCTTCAAACCAGTGCTCACATTGAAGCGTTGCTTTCATCTCCACGATCGACGCGTTGCCTTAGGTCGGGCCTGTCCCCCTACAGGGGGATGTTCGACGAAAAATAAAAAATACCCCAACAAATACTCAAAAGATGCCCCAAAATAATCAAAAAACAATCCCCTGACTATTTTTCAACTATTTTTGGATACCCCCCCTGTAGAGGGACAGGCCCGCGTTGCCCCCGTCGTCCAGACTGGTGCTCTCGCCCCAGCGGGGGCCACCTCTCGATCTCACAACCCGCCATCTTACTCGTCACCCCGCTCCTTCCCTCGCCTCCGCCCGCTTTCCCATCGGAGCGTTGTTGGTATCTCAAAACTGTGTTCCCGCTGCAGCACCGGTCTCTTGTAGGATTGCCGCTTTGCTCCCGTCGTTCAGGACTGGCGCCGTCGCTCCAGAGCGGGCCGTCTGGAGCAGTAAGATAAGACTTCGGTGTTACTTTGTTGGTTTCCAGAGCTGAGGTACTGATTGATAGGGATGGTTGGGGGGCATTCGCATTTAGCTGTCAAGGCTCCTCCTCCTCCTCTTCCTCCTCTTCAACCTCCTCCTCGTCCTCCTCCTCCTCTTACTCTTGCTCATCCGCCACCTCCTCCTCCAGTGTACACACATTCCATTTTCTGATTGCCCTGAACACCATGGGAACCCCTTTTGGGATTCCGAGTCCGATCTGACACCCGTCGGCGGATGGAGAAAAACAAACGCAATGGGAAAGGATGTGTGGGAGGGGTATGATGTCAGACGTGGCACGAGCGCACCTAGCTGATCACCCTCTCTCTCTCTCTCTCTCTCTCTCCCCACTCCACCGATGTTGGGCCTGATTCGGTGTGTCTGTCCTCAGGGCCTCTGGCTGTATATCTGTGCAAGAGCATCCCGCCCTTGCCTGCCGTTGAAAGCTTACTCCGGCAAATACTCCTCCTCCGTCCCCTCCTCCTCCTCCTCCTCCTCCTCCTCCTCCTCTCATCATCATCATCATCATCATCCTCCTCCTTCTCCTCCTCTCACTGCCCCAAATTTGTGCGCTGGCAACACCGCCGAACGGAACAAGCAGCGCGCTA